CCCCAAAACCCCAAAACCCCAAAACCCCAAAACCCCAAAACCCCTAAATCTCAGATAATTTAAATAATAATTTGGTATATTCATAATCCTTGAACAAGGTCATGGACAAGGTAATTATTCACTAGCAGCCAAGAGATGGTGCCTAGATCCTCTCTTGAGGCTAAGTAATGGAACAATTCTCTGTCAAATTCTTGAGAAAATTTACCAAAATTAGGCTAAAAACTGCCAGAATATAACCTTTAATATAGAGACAAAGGAGTAATCTCAATAAAGAAAAGCATATATCCACTGGGAATGATTCTGGCAGTAATTACTGGTGCAAAGAGAAATCTGGAAGAGAAAAGTACGCAGATGACTTCAGGAAGCCCTCCCTCAACAAGCACAAGGAGCTCCTCTACATGGCAAACGAGGTTTCCAGACTAGTCAGGGTGAAAGAGATTAAGTCTGTTAAGAAATTAGCTGATGATGAATTTTATATTGGAATTTTTGAGAAAGAATTTAATGAAATTGATTTCCATGATCTCAAAGGAGCTCAGTCTCTCGAACAGAAGGCTGAAAATTTACAAATTATGATTGATTTCCTTGGCAATGCAGTTTATGAGATGGACCTTAGCCACATTGAACCCTCTGAAATTCTAGATAGGAATTATGATCATATTCATAGATTCGTTAAACTATTATATGAGTGGTCTGTGACTCAAGCTGGGGCTCCTAGCTCAAAGCCTTTGAAGAAGATTATCAGCATTGGAAATTCTGGCACAATGCCAACTGTTGATACATATGAAAACATCAAAAATCAAACAGATGATAATGATGAAATCATTAACTTTTATCATAAAAGGCGACCTGATCTTGCAATTGAAACAGGACCTCAAGGGACTTCCAAGTTTAGGATTTTGAGTAATGATAAATGTGAAAATAATGAAATCTTTCAAAACATTGCTAAGACTTCTGAGACTCCAACAATTAGATCCTCCCTCACAGCTTCGGCGAATACTACGATTTTAGGAGGAGCAGTTGATCATGAGGAGAAAGCCCATCATTGAGATATTTTCGATATGAACCAGGCAAGCGAAAGTTCTTATGAAAAATCTCTAGAAAAAGGAGTTATTAGAGATCAAGTAAGCTGACTGTTAGTTTTTCATTACTTTCCAATTTAAAAATTCAAAAGTAAATATCAAATTGTATAGTTTCAAAATGTTGGTCAACTTGAGATCATTCCTGAGATCAACCTAGACCAAGAAGACACCTTTGCTACTATTATTCGGGTAGTTGAAGAGAGTAAACGAAAACCAATCAAAAATTCAAGAGTTCAATCATTTTCTCCTGTAAACAAGGGGAAGGACTCGTTTGGGCTCTACTATGACCAGCAATCCCCAGACTCCTCTGAAAACCGGGTTCGCCACAAGCCGGGGACATACTTCTCTAAAAAGAATCTGAAAAACTATACGGTGAAAGATGTAAGCAAGGACAATAAAATGAAGAACTCAGTTCCGGTTTATAATCCAAGTACTATCACTTTGTCCTCAAGTGGATCCAAGGGTGTCCTAACCACATCTAATTTTTCAAATAATGACAAAATAAAGGATTCAAATACAAAGAAAAAGTCTCAAGTAATGAAGTGGAGCTCTTCGCAGATAAAATACAAAGGTAAAAAGGGAAATGACTCCAGCATAAAATCTCCTCATTCAAAGTTTTCAACTAATTACGCTACTAAAAGGCCGAAGTCAGCGAAAGGGGGAGCAACAGGGTCCAAGCAGGAGTACACTTACAAGTATTCTTATAACAAAGGAAGTGGTAATAACAAGCATATTTCCTCATCCAAGAAGCGGAACGATACTTCTTCTCAGCTCAGGAAGAACCAAGGGATTAAGGATATGACTTCAAAGCAGAAGAAAGAGTATATGACCTCTTCTTACAGGAAGTCTCATATTTCTGGGACTCATAAGAAGTACTCGAAGACCTCTCGTGGAGGTAAAAAGTCTAACTCTAGTAGCTCTCGGCTACTCGATCAAGGGAGTAATACTTGAAGTACGTCGAAGTTTACGACTAAGGCTCACAAGCAGTCTTATAATTCTATAATGACGATGCTGATGAACAAGGAGCAGGATATGTTCCGGACTACTAATGATGCCAAGACGCTTAAGTATAAGGCAGCCAAGGATCAGGGCTACCATCTTAAGAGTTCGAGCGGCAGCTCGAACTCTAAGCTATTTAGCTCTTCTTCTCGAAAAGCTTTGGATTCGCACGGCTATAAGACAACTAAGGATTCGAAGAACTACAAAAAGTCAACCGTGACTGTGTACCACAGTAAGGGAGCTGGACAGGAGGTGAAGAAGGAGTTGGAAGATTACTTGAAAACTACCAGGAACCATAGCAGTCGGAATTACGCAAGCCATAATTCCAATGCTCATGTGGTAAAAACATATCATAAATAACTTAACTTAAAGCTCTCGTGACAAAAAGAACACGAAGTGGTGTATAAGGGAGTTTGAGTTCAAATTTTTCATAATACATATATTTTTGAAATCAATAAAGTATAAGCCATAAGGGGTTTTGGGGTTTTGGGGTTTTGGGGTTTTGGGGTTTTGGGG